CGAGAAGGCACTTGCTATTACATTGGAAATTGGTGACAGAGAAGGAGAAGCAACGGTTTACAGAAGCCTAGGAACAGTGTTTCAATCACTTGATAATTATAACAAGGCACAAGAATGTTACAACAAAGCACTTTCTGTCACATTGGAAATTGGTGACAGAAAAGGAGAAGCAACGATTCACGGAAACCTAGGAACAGTGTTTCAATCGCTTGATAATTATAACAAGGCACAAGAGTATTACAACAAAGCACTTGCTATCACATTGGAAATTGGTGACAGAAAAGGAGAAGCAACAGTTTACGGGAATCTAGGAACAGTGTTTCAATTGCTTGGTAATTATAACAAGGCACAAGAATATTGCGAGAGAGCACTTGCTATCAGACTGAAAATTGGTGACAGAGAAGGAGAAGCAGCGGATTACGGAAATCTAGGAACAGTGTTCCAATCGATTGGTAATTATGCCCAGGCGCAAGAATATCACGAGAGAGCACTTGCCATCAGACTAGAAATTGGTGACAGAAAAGGAGAAGCAGCGGATTACGGAAACCTAGGAACAGTGTTTAAATCGATTGGTAATTACACCCAGGCACAAGAATATCACGAGAAAGCACTTGCCATCAGACTAGAAATTGGTGACAGAAAAGGAGAAGCAGCGGATTACGGAAACCTAGGAACAGTGTTTCAATCGCTTGGTAATTATAACAAGGCACAAGAATATTACCAGAAAGCACTTTCTATCAGACTGGAAATTGGTGACAAAAAAGGGGAGGCAAGGGATTACGGAAACATTGGGACCCTGTTTTCGTTACTAGGTGAATATGATGAGGCTCAAAAAAATTTGGAGAAAGCACTACGGATTCAAAAGAAACTTTGCGACAGAAGTGGAGAAGCAAGGTGTTATGGAAACTTGGGAGCTTCGTTTCTGTCACTCAGAAAATACCCTACAGCAGATAAATATCTACAGCAATCACTGGCAATAGCAAAGGAAATTGGCGATAAACGTGGAGAAGCAGCAGTTTACGGTCATCTGGGGATAATTTCTTGTCATCTTCAGAATTATGAAAAGGCTCAAGAACATCACGAGAAAGCCCTTGCAATCTGTAAGGAAATTGGCGACAGAGATGGAGAAGTAGTCGCATACAAAAATTTGGGGGCATGTTTCCACTCGCTTGACATATATAACGTGGCCGAAAAATACATCAATAGGGCCTTATTAATAAGCAAGAATATTGGACACAACTTGAACGAATTTAACTGCCTTCGTCAACTAACGCTGTTGAAGCTATCACAATTTAATCTCAAAGAGGCCATGTCATATCTTTTTCACTGTATTGGAAAATTCGACACGTTGCGAGGTTTCCTTAAAGATAATGATCACTTTAAGACTTCTCTTTTAGAGGAGCACGGCAATTTCCCATACAAGTTGCTCAGCTACTTGCTTTCTTCTACCGGCGAGCCAAGAGATGCTCTTTATGTTGAGGAGCTGAGACGGGCAAGAGGCCTCGCCGACTTCATGGCAGCCAAGTACTCTGTTCAAGAGCTGATCTCAGGAAATCCACAGTCATGGCATGGCATTCAAAATATCATCCCAAAAGAAACGGACTGTACATGTCTTTATATTTCAGTTGAAAAAGAACATGCACGGTACTGGATTCTCGAAGCATCAGGAGCCATTCATTTCTCACGAAAGAAAGTGAGTCTGGAGAAACGCGTGGTGACCCAATTAGTTCCTGATTTGGACGAGTTTTTCAAAGAGAGCTTCCGCAGCCTAGGCATTTTATCTCAACAGAATTGCGAAGATCGATCATTAGATGACATCGAATCGATGCCACCTCACAAGCCCATGCGTGACTATGATCCAAAAGATTTCAAAACGAATCTTCAGTCGTGTTACGAGTTAATCATCGCTCCCGTGGCCGATTTACTGAAAGAGCCCGAGATTTTAATTGTCCCTGAATCCTGTATGTACCAAGTCCCATTTGCTGCCATTAGTGATGAAGGAGGACTCTATTTAGTGGACACTTTCAGGATCCGCGTCGTTCCCTCTCTGACGACTCTAAAGCTGATTCAGGACAGTTCCCCAGACTATCACAGTCAGAGAGGAGCACTGATAGTGGGTGATCCTGAGGTTGGCGAGGTGCTTTTGAAAGGAAAACGCAAGATCCTAAAATCATTGCCATGCGCACGAAAGGAAGCAGAAATGATTGGACGACTTCTTGGAGTGACACCTTTGACTGGAGACCGTGCAACAAAGGAGGCAGTTCTTGATGCAATAAATTCAGTAAGTCTGATTCACTTTGCTGCCCATGGTGATCCCGAAAGAGGAGAGATTGCTCTTTCTCCTAATTGCCCCACCAATTTCCCTCCACAAGACGAAAACTTCCTTTTGACGATGGCGGACATTTCAAAAGTTCGGCTGCGAGCTAAAATGGTGGTACTCAGCTGTTGTTACAGTGCTCGTGGGCAGATTAAAGCCGAGGGAATTATTGGAATCGCTCGAGCGTTCTTAGGATCTGGTGCTCGTTCAGTGTTGGCGGCACGGTGGGCCATAGAAGACACAACCACGGAGGAATTCATGAGATGTTTCTACCAAAACTTGTTCCGCGGCAAAAGTGCAAGTGAATCCCTTCACGAGGCCAGGAAATGGTTGAGAAAGAACGGCTTCGAAAAAGTTTCTCAGTGGGCTCCCTTCATGCTTATTGGCGATAACGTGACATTTGATTTTGAAAATTGGTCCGGGTCTAAAACATCCAAACAGCCATGAGAGAAGCGAATCCTTTTAAATGGATCAAGTAAACTTTGCAACGGTCAATTGCCTTCCTGAAGGAAAAAAACGCAATCTGTGAAGGACAGAAAACCTTTTCTGAGAGCGCTTATTAGCTATCTATGTGTAATAATCTGGAACA